TGCAGAGAAGGGCGCCGCCTCTGCGGCCCCCGCGGCGGGCCGCGCCGGGCGCGGCCACGCGTCGCGCCCCTGTTGGGGGGGGGGCGGCCTCCAGGAAGAGGGCTCGGGGGCTCTGCGACCTCCGCCCCGTTTGCTCTCCCCGCGGGCGAGCAGGGCGATGCCGTCTCTCTCCCTCTCTCTCTCTCTCTCTTTCTCTCCTGCTCCTACCCCCTCTCGTTCGTTTCTCGTTCTGTGCTTCCCTGTATCTGCCTTGTCTTCTCTCCCTCTCTCTCTCTCTCCCTCTCTCTCTCCCTCTCGTTTGCTTCTCACCTTCTGTTTCTCTTTCTCCTGTTGCGCCTCTTCTTGTTTCTCCCTCTCGTTTGTCTCTCACCTCGCTTTTCTGTCTGCGCTTCTGCTTTTCTCTCTCTCTCTCTCTCTCTCTGAGTCCCGCCTGTCGCGGAGCCAGCGACGGGCGAGCTCTCGCTGCCCGCAGCGGGCCGCTGGCCGCGCAGCTGGCCTCCTGCCGCAAGAGCTGCGCTTCAGGACGCGTGCAGCAAGGGGGGAGGAGGAGGAGGAGGAGGAGGAGGAGGAGGAGGAGGAGGAGGAGGAGGAGGAGGAGGAGGAGGAGCAGGGGGAGGAGGAGGAGGGGGAGGGGGGAGGAGGAGGAGGAGGAGGAGGAGGAGGAGGAGAGGAGGAGGAGGAGGAGGAGGAGGAGGAGGAGGGGAGGAGCAGGAGGAGGAGGAGGAGGAGGAGGAGGAGGAGGAGGAGGAGGAGGAGGAAGAGGAGGAGGAGTAAGGAGGAGGAGTAAGAGGAGGAGGATCGAGAATCGAGGAGGAGGAGGAGGAGGAGGAGGAGCAGGGGGAGGAGAGGAGGAGGGGGGGGGGGGGGGAGGGGGAGGAGGAGGAGGAGGAGGAGGAGGAGGAGGAGGAGGAGGAGGAGGAGGAGGAGGAGGAGGCCGTAGCCATTTTGGCTCAAGTCTCACGGAGCTTACCTCCCGTGGGTCCCGACTCCCGAGGCTCGAGGCTGAGGTGGAAGGGCAGCCCCTTTCCTCAGGCCTGGCTGCCTCAGTCCAGCGCTGTGGGCTCCTGGTGAGCCCAGTCTTTCGTCCCTCGGCGCACCGAGGAAGCTTTTCAGCCAGTCCCCTGGACTGCAGATGAAACAGAATGGTGGAGTGGAACCAGTGGTCCTGCCAGGACCCAAGGAGCCATGTTGGTGCTGCGCGTGCGGGAGGAGCAGCAATTGGGCGACCAGGGTACGCTGTGCCTGTGGGGCGAGTGCGCCACGCAGCATCATCGATCGTGCACGCCATAATGCCAAAAAGTTTCAGCACGAACGAGGGCCGAAGCCTGGGCAACACCCGCAGCCAGGGGGTGTCTGGGCCAAGCAGCTCGAGAGTACGAACCAGTCGATTGCCAAGCTCGCCAACTCCGTCCAGCTCTTGCTCAAGGGGCAATCGAGTGTGGGAGGGGCGCCGTCGATGGCGCCTTCAGGTGGATGGGGCGAGCCAGGATGTGGGGGGGCGCTGGCCCAAGCCAGGCCGACAAGCTGCGGGACCGCATCGCGATGCTCGGCAGAATGGCGAAGGAGCTGGATCCTGAGGCCGACAAGGATGAGATCGATCGCTTGCGGCAGAAGCAGGCGGCAGCGCAGAAGGAGCTCCAGGGTTCCAAGCCTGCGCTCACACAGCACACGAACGCGGGACACAAGCTCGCGGAGCTCGAGGCGAAGCAAGCTACGCTGGAGCAGAAGTTGGAAGCACATCGCAAGGCCATCGAAGAGGCGCGCGAAGTCGAGAAGAATATGCAAACCCAGCTGGACGAGCTCAAAAGCAAGGTCGAGGAGGCCCGCAAGGAGCTGGTCAAGACCATGCCTGTTGGAGTGGCACAGTGGAGTACAGACCAGCTGGATAAGGCCGAACTTGAGAAGCAGCCCGAGGTCAAGGCCATGCTCGAGTCGGAAGCCTGGGCGAAATTCATGGACATGCTCAAGCTCACGGGTATCCCTCCGCCAGTTCCAGCTGCTGGGCCTGTTCCTCCTGCTGATGATCCAGGGCGCAATGGGCAATGCAAGCCAGTACCAGACCTGCACGAGGACATGGGCCTGGAAGAGCTTGGCCAGCTCTGGGAGGAGCACCAGGGCGAGAAGCGGGCGTTCCTGGACAGCCTGGCTAGCCTCAAGCTCAAGCGACAAAAGCGTGGGTAGCAAAGCCATGGTCATGCGGGACCTGCTGGAGGTGCTGGGGGGCGTGGAGGCGCTGGGCGGCCACTGCTTTCCCCTGGCGGTCCCTCTGGTCCCACCTAGCCCTTCGGGAGGCGCTGAAACGGGTGAGGTGAGGCCGCCAGGGGACATGGAGGATTCGCACCCCTGCGGGGCACCCTCTGGGCCCACCCTCCTCCTGCGCCCCGCGCGAGCAGCCAGGGGCCACTCGGGCGCGCGCGGGAGGTGAAGGGCAGGGAGAGGTGAGGCCCCCGCGGGGCAAGTCGAAGTCGGATAGGTTCGAGTTCTACTTCGCCAACATCAC